CTTATGTCGATGATACTGAGGTCTTTAAGGTATCATGGCAATTTGATATACTAGAATTTATTTTTTCTATCTGCTTGTTCCCTTCTTAACTTCTCAGAACTTTGTTTAAAGTATTTTATGTTTCTTATCTTGTTAAAAAGGTTTGCTTGGACTATTGGAATTCCATGGTTTTGGAGCTATTTGATGCAAGTCATAACATGGATAATCCAGCTGTAACTGCAAACATGATGGGACTGCAGGTATTGTGATAATTATGTTAGTCTTAAATCCAGCTGTAACTGTTCTCACTTCTATGCGCAACACATCTTGCAACTCTTTTATTTTAACCGCTATTTTGGGAAAAAGTTTTTAATTTTATTGGTTTCTGAGAGCAACTGGAAACAAATGGACACACATATTAGTGCCCTCAAATCCAACAATAATATGTATTATAAAATAACATGTGGAAAATCTTATTGAGCTCATAGTGACCTTATTTTTTGCAAATATTTTGGATGGCTTGCTAGATATGATATTTTCCCCCAATTTTTTTGTTTGGAATGATTTCTACATGTCTGTGGAAATTGGTGTGAAATTGGGATTGCTAACTGTAGATGGTGCAACATCCTTTTCGTGATTATTTTTGTGAGTAGATGTTGCTTGTAGTTTGTGAATGTTGATGAATTGCTACAAGATTTTCCACTTCTTGGTTACTATGGAAGGATCAGTCATTTCTTGTCAATGAATTGAATCTGGCAGGTGCCTTTGCTCCCTGGCATGGTTGATGGCCTTGGTGCCCAGCTTCTGCAACGAAGACAACTTTATGCTGGTACAATGTCGAAGTTGAGAATGCTCATGATTTGCCGTATGGCTAAGCCTGAGGAGGTTCTGATAGTTGAAGATGAAAATGGCAATATAGTTCGAGAGACGTTGAAAGATAACGATGTTCTTGTTCAGTATAAGGTGATAAACCAATATGAAATAAGATGCTTAATTTAGATTACCAAATTCAATTCTTAGTCAGAAGGCATCATCCTTTTACGGTTATACCACCCTAAAAATGTTTTTACTTTTACGGCTAATTGGATTGAATGATATGTTGTGATTTATTCATATGGTGGTTTTAGTATTCCCTTTCCATTTATTTGTAAACTTCAGCTTGTAAGATTCTATTTGTCATGTTAGTATTTTATATGCCTGTCGATTAAATTTCTTTTGTTGTCTGAATGATTTGCTGCTCTTCATATTTGCACAAAAACTTAAAATCTGTATAATTCCAACATCTTCTGTTTTAGAAGACTATGTCTTGGTATAATATTTATTTATTTTTATTTTGTCATCATCTTCTGAATTTCTTTGTTAATAAAGTTATATACTGCAGATTATGAGGGAGACATTGATCTATTTGTCTCACTTGGATCACGAGGATACTGAAAAGCAGGTAAGGAACTACAAGACATTTATAATTGTGGTTTCTAGAAGCTAAATTATGTTATTTACTGGTTTCTACGTGACTTTCCCGAGTTCGCTAAGAAAAATGACATTTTCTTTATCTTTAAACAATTGAAACAATATGCCATTTAGATATTCTGTTGCATATGGATGGAGGAAAAAAAGAAGTCATCTCTCAAATGTTGTGAATCTATGGAGAATGAAGCACTCCTCTTTTTATGATAGTTCATTCTTGGATTTTAGTTTTCACTTTCACTAGGAATCTTATGCATAATCCATTTTATGTTCATTCAATATGGATTTGTTTAATCATCTATGTAATGCAGATGCTTAGGAAATTAAGTAAGCAATTAAGTGGCGAGGATTGGACTTGGAACAACTTGAACACATTATGTTGGGCAATAGGATCTATTTCTGGTTCCATGATGGAAGAACAGGTATCCTTCTATCTACACCAAGAAATGTTAGTCAGATGGTCATTGTGATGTGATCACGTGTGTACTTGCATTAGGTTGCCAACTCTTCCCTTGCATGCTTTTTTCCTATATTAGTTTAACATGTTTGGTGTTCATGGCAGGAAAACAGGTTTCTGGTGTTGGTCATTCGTGATTTGCTGAGTTTATGTGAAATCACTAAAGGGAAAGACAATAAAGCTGTTATTGCTAGCAACATTATGTAAGAATATATAATATCTAGAGTATTTGTGGACTGTCTACATCGGTTTTTCTTTGGAAAATAATTATTCAAAAGCTTGCTGCATTTTTTTGACATGTGATTTTATGTGAATGACATGGCTATTTTTGGCCACCCTTAGTTTGTCATGTGCTTATCGGTGGCTCAGAATGTGTGATGGAACTTACCTGATGCTTATTTTCTTAGTGTTATATTTTAAAATTTCTTATCTTGGCCCTTTATCTAATGTGTTACCAGTTTTGGTGTGATGGATCTTACCTGATGCTTGTCTTCTTGGTGCTATATTTAAAAATTTCTTATCTTAGCTCTGAAATTTAATATATGTTATTGGTTTGTTTACAGGTATGTAGTTGGACAATATCCAAGGTTTTTAAGGGCACACTGGAAGTTCCTTAAAACTGTTGTTAATAAGTTGTTTGAGTTTATGCATGAAACACATCCAGGAGTTCAGGTAAATCATCGGGAAAACAAAATTTTATCTTCTGGAAAGTGATAAAATAATTCAGTGTTTACAGAACTTGTGCCTTTAATGTTGCTGATGTGCTCAATATTTTAGTATATGTTTGTAATTTGTAGCATGATTTGCAAATTGTGACTGAAAATACACAATAAGGTTGAGTTTTGCCGTATATCTATTCTTTTTTTTGGGTATCATCTCATTATGTTATAGTTTTTCTGCCAATGATAATTCAAGATTGTAACTAGTATTTCATACCATAATATCTTAATATAACAAGTTGGGTGCTTTCAGGATATGGCCTGCGATACATTCTTGAAAATTGTTCAGAAGTGCAAGCGGAAATTTGTGATTGTGCAGGTATCGACTACTTTCAACATTTCATTTCTATGGTTTATTAACTTATTATATAGGTCAATAACTGTTATATTGCTGAGCTGTTTCTTGTAAATATAGGTTGGAGAAAACGAACCATTTGTGTCTGAACTTCTATCTGCTCTTGCAACAACAGTCGCTGATCTAGAGCTTCACCAGATTCATTCATTTTATGAATCTGTAAGTTACTTTTCTATGCCTGTACTATTAGATCTTTGCATGTCTATTATGTTGCTGGATGTGCTCGTTTCCCCCATTTATTTTTTTTATTTTATATTTCAGGTTGGTCATATGATTCAAGCAGAGCCCGATCCCCATAAGAGGGATGAGTACTTGCAGAGACTGATGGAACTCCCCAATCAGGTTTTTCATTGATAGAGGAACAGTTTCCTTTTTGTTTTTCTCGCATTCTTATGCATATATCTGCCATTGCATGCTAATATGGTGAGGTTGTTCTGGAACCCTGTTTCTTATGATGCGGCTTGTTATGCAGAAATGGGGTGAAATTATTGGGCAGGCACGCCAGAGTGTTGACTTCCTTAAAGACCAGGATGTGATAAGAACCGTGCTGAACATATTGCAGGTATCTTTATTTTCATGAGGCATATTCTTTATATATTGTGTTCAGCATTTATTGTCTGTAATACACTTAATTTTTCTCATTGTAGGCAGTTGCCTATCTTTAGCTGAAAGATATACTATACTTTTGAATTTGTGGGATGTTGATTGGGTGATTCCTAGTAAACCTTTAGAGTGCATCACACAGTGGGACGAGCTTCTTCCGAATTCTACTATTTGGAAATACATTCCAAGGGCAGTCTTGTGGACGGTTTGGAAAATTAGGAATGAAGTTATTTTTAAGAAAGGGAAATTGGATGTGGTGTTGTTGTTCTTTATTGCTCGGTTTAGAATAGTTTCTTGGTTTGCTGCTAGTTTTGATTCGCAGATTCCTTTTGATTCTCTGGTGGGTGATTTAACACTTGCTGATTCAATGGTCAGCCACAAAGTAAGATCCAAGCCTTCGTGCTGGGTTCCTCCTCCAGTTGGGTTCATAAAGATTAATGTTGATGGAGCAATGGTGAAGGGGTGGAGCAAAGGAGGTATAGGAGGCCTGATTAGGGACAGCAGTGGTAAGTTGAGTCATTGGTTTGCTGAAAATGTTGGGGGAGGTCCCCCGATTATGGCAGAACTTCTGGCGATTAAGAGGGGGTTGGGCTTGCTTATTGATTCAGGTGGGGTTTGTAACCAGAGGATTATTTTAGAATCAGATTCATCCAACGCGCTGAAGTGGATCAAAAATCCGGAACTAAGCACCCCCTTTATTCCAACCATTGGTGAAGGAGATAGTCTCTACTATGGAAGGGTTGGACATTTCGTTAAGGCTTATCTTGAGGGCTGCTAATTGGGAAGCGGACAGATTAGCTAAGGATGGTATAGGTTGATTTGCTTTCTTAGTATTTGGGGAGTTGGTGTGTATGTTTCACTTTGTTCTGCAGTTTTTGGTTATCAGTCTTATGGTATTAGTGACTACGTTGTCCAGCTGATAGTGGTTTTTAAGTCTTATGCTTTTTGGGAAGTGTTGGTTGTTGTAAGGGCTGGCTATGTACTATTCTACTGTTTAATATAATTATAGGCGCTCTTTTCCTCCTTTCAAGGCCCTTCATGTTACTTTCATAACATGGAGGGTAAAATAAAGGGGGTTTTTACGAGGCCTCATCTTCTATCAAAAAAAAAAATAAGGGTTGTCGTTTTCAGAAGTTTTTCATTTGCATGGAGGGGAAGGCTCTTATTGGCTATGAACTTTAATGCCATTATGTCCATGCGTCTGATGACTGGATTCTTTGTTAGTGGATTGGTTCTTCTTTCCTTGCAGATCGAATTTGAGATTTACATACTGCGGTTATTATTCAATGCTTCTTGGTATTTAGAAAGACTTAAGTGAGTTTTTTTTTCCACTTTGCAGACAAATACTAGTGTTGCCAGTTCCCTTGGAACATATTTCTTATCTCAGATTTCTTTGATCTTCCTGGACATGCTTAACATATACAGGTAAATCTGATTTAGTGGTTCAAAATGCTAGTTTGAGCATGGAAATTTGATAGTTTTATTGCTAATTTGGTTTGTCTATGGTACTGTAATAAATTGGCAGAATGTACAGTGAGCTTATATCGAGTAGCATTGCAGAAGGTGGACCTTTTGCTTCAAAAACATCCTATGTGAAACTTCTACGGTGCGACTGATTTTTGTGGACTTGCTTTTGTTGGTTTTATTTGATTGAAAACTTTTTATTTAACTTGTTTTATGAAGCAGATCTGTTAAGAGGGAGACTCTAAAACTCATTGAGACATTTTTGGACAAGGCTGAGGATCAACCACATACTGGGAAGCAATTTGTGCCCCCGATGATGGATCCAGTTCTTGGTGACTATGCTAGGAATTTGCCTGATGCTAGAGAATCTGAAGTTCTATCCCTTTTTGCCACAATAATAAACAAGTATGGTGAATGCATATAGTACATATTTATGATGCAATTGCAATTTGTTGAGAATTTAAATCACTTCTTGAGCATTCAAATATTGAGGCTGGATGGATTTATTGATTATTGCTTATTTTACCAAATTATGGTGATCAATGCATATAGTACATATTTATGATGCAATTGCAATTTGTTGAGTATTTAAATCACTTCTTGAGCATTCAAATATTGAGGGTTGGATGAATTTATTAACTACTGCTTATTTTACCAAAGAATCATGCACATTTGGTGTTGATATTTCTTCTAAGCCTGGCTAAAATGATATGGGAAAGCCTTCTTGTCTTTTCACATTTTCTTGCTATTTCTGCTGCTGAAAGAGCTATATTTGTCTTGTTCCCTTATAAATGAGAATGGTTCATTTTATAATACCTGTATTGGTGACGTATTGGAGCTCTTCTCAGCTTCAGTGATTACACCATTGTTCTGTGTCTAAAACATAGAAGCATTTTACCTTCTGTTATCATACTGGTTCTTGCTGAAATAATGCTTTTCCCTTATGTTATTTTTGTTGTCATATTTAATAACAAATCTTTTTTTGGTTATGTTATTTATGCATGAAGGTATAAAGCTGCAATGATAGATGATGTTCCACGTATATTTGAAGCTGTGTTTCAGTGCACGCTGGAGGTGAGTCTTGATCTCTATATTTATGATATGCATGTATTATTGAAAGGAGGAATCTTTCTCATGGGGATGGGGGATATGGTGTTGTGTCTGCCCGCTTTAAAACTTAGGATGGGTACTACCTTACCTATAATTTTTTCTTGTCGATCCTTGCAGATGATAACTAAAAATTTTGAAGACTATCCAGAACATCGCCTCAAATTCTTTTCACTGCTTCGTGCCATTGCCACTCATTGTTTTCCTGCACTCATTCGGTTATCAAGTCAGGTTGGTGTTGAGTTTCTTCTTTCTAATTTCTTGTAGCTGTTGTTTAATTAAGAGCATGAAATCTGTTTAAATTTCATTGTCAGTGTAAGCTTTTACTTTCTCTATAATAACTATCTAATGCCAGTTATTATTATTATTATTTGGGTGTTCGAAAGAGTTTCAAGGCAATTGTTGTTTACCATTTTCTCCTTGCATCTGCCTTAGCAATTAAAGCTAGTTATGGATTCAATCATTTGGGCATTCCGGCATACAGAGAGGAATATTGCAGAAACTGGTCTTAATCTTCTATTGGAGATGCTGAAAAACTTTCAGGTGAGATGATATCGGGTTTTTTGTGGTTGATAACTGTGTTTATATAAAGATGCTGAGTTATTGGTTTTGGCACCTTGTGACAGGCTTCTGAATTTTGCAACCAGTTCTACCAAACGTATTTCTTGTCAATTGAGCAAGAAATATTTGCAGTCTTGACGGACACATTTCACAAACCTGGCTTCAAGTTGCATGTCTTGGTTTTACAGCATCTATTCTGCCTGGTATGGTATTTTACTGTGCCTCGATTTCTCTGATTTGCATTGGTTTAATATTTTGTCTTTGGCATGTTATTTTCAGGTTGAGAGTGGTTTGTTGACTGAGCCCTTGTGGGATGCTGCAACGGTTCCACCATATCAATATCCAAATAATGGAATGTTTGTTCGTGAATACACAATAAAACTTTTAAGTACATCATTCCCCAACATGACTGCAGCTGAGGTATAATAAAAGTTTCACTTCCAATCTATCATTTTTTTCTTCTTTTATTTACCGAGTATCACTGATCTAATGTGGGTTTCAGGTCACTCAATTTGTGAATGGATTATTTGAGTCGAGAAACGATTTGTCCACCTTTAAAACTCACACAAGGGACTTCCTTGTGCAATCAAAAGAATTTTCAGCTCAGGTAAAGCTTTGAAAGAAGAGTGGTCAATGTTTATAATTGGAGTTTGTATCTACTGTTAGTTTTAGTTGAAATTTATCACCTGTGCATGGAGTTTGCTTTGATGAATGAAGTGTCTGATCGTGTAGTTGTTCTACTTCCTGCAGGACAATAAAGATCTGTATGCAGAAGAGGCTGCTGTACAGAGGGAAAGAGAGCGACAACGGATGCTTTCTATCCCTGGGCTCATTGCACCGAATGAGATACAAGATGAAATGTTGGACTCATAGATGTGGTGGCTAATTTCGTGTCGGAAGCTAATTTGTTTAGTTTTGACTTGGGAGTTAAGGGTTGCGGCCTTCTGTTTTATGACCAGTAAGTATCCCTGAATGTAATCAGATCAGATACACAGCATTTGTCACCATTGTTTGTCACCTTTTCCCAAGGTTTTCTATTTGTCAAAAAAGGGTGGGTTGCGCACACAGGGGGACCGACCATATATGTCATTACAGGTGAATGTGAAGAATATGTAGGTGTTTGACGTGATTGTTAGCTGATGAAAGACCTTTTACAAGATGAGGACTTGTTTTGAATTATTGTTGATTCATCCTATAGGTTACTAACTCGGAGGGTTGTGCAGAATTATTTTTTACTTCTGCTTTTGTTTTTTGGGATTTGATTAAAGTAGAATGTCATTATTTATGTGTTTCAGACACTATTTGGCATGTCAACATCAGTCTCGAGTGATGGTAATGAACTTTGTTAAATATAGCTCTCATCTATTCTCGTATTTCGATTTCAATGCTTTGTTTTTCGGGCTATTCAAAAACCCTGTTTCCAGCCTAACCTACGGCATCCATTTGAGTAAAACAAGTACCCGGGTGTACCTGGCCGGATAAGAAACCTAGTATCATCGTCATCACCAACCACTCACCCGAAGAGAGCTTTGTGTGTAGATGCTCGTTTTTGTCCGAGGTCCAATAGATTCAAAGTGGATTGCAGGACTAAAATAAGTATAACAGTTTGTAACACTCAATGAATAACCAAGTAAGATTTTTTTTGGAGCCACGTAAGAAGTAATGAGGCAAATGGTTATGGAAAAAGAGTAAAAATTGAATAAAACAGTTTGTAAGTGGGGGGCAAGATTTAAAGAGCAGTTTTTGGGAAGAGTTAAAGAAAAAGGGGGTCAGTTTTTTAATGGGCAATTAACCACTGAAAACGAAAAATACTATCAAACAACTAGAGGGCACAGAGCAGAAAGGAGAGGGAACACAAATAGAGAAAAATTTGGAATCGAGAGAGTCAGGGGATTTTTCACACCAGAAGCGAAGAAAGCAACAATTAGGGACTACCAGCCGAAAACTCTATTAGTCATCAACAATTTCACATTGTAGAAGAATACAAAGAGAGACAACAGTGTATCCTCATAATTCCAAACCAGAGAAAGCAATAAAATACAAGGAATTTTAAGGTATTCTGATTTTGCTTTCTTTTCGTTTTCTAGTTCTTCTTTGTGTGTGTTTGCATCATTTCAAAAATAGTAAAAGAAAGAAATCATCCATCAACGTTGTAAAAAAATGGCTAATCTTAAAATCGACTACACAGTCGAATCAACAAGAAGTGACGAGCAGAATCATTCTTTCTCACTGTTACTTTTCTAAGACAGAAATCATAGCAAAGCAAGAGATTTCATTTTCCCCTTTCGTTTTATAGAGTTTTCATAAGTAACATGGTGTAAAGGGAATGGTAGCGTTACCTTGGTTATCAGGGTCGCATCGTCGGAGTTCTTGACCAATCTTCGAGCTTGCTTTCTCTCTTTTGAGGTTTGGTTTAGAGTTCATCGAGAGAGAGAGGAGACCTTGGTTGTCAGGGTCGCATCGTCAGAGTTCTTGACCAATCTTCGAGCTTGCTTTCTCTCTTTTGAGGTTTGGTTTAGAGTTCATCGAGAGAGAGAGAGGAGGAGGAACGTCGCTGTAAATGAAGGAGATGGGTGAGAGGTGTTGTTTGAGAATATGGGGGTTACGACTGGAAAGAGGAAAGGAATTTAAGGTTTTTTTAAAACTTGAAATTATATGCATAATGGCTTAATGAAACGGCAGCGCTCAGTGGAGCTGGGGTGTCCATTTTGCGTGTGGGTATCCATTGTAGGGGCCATCCGAACTTTCAGAGTCTTGCGTTTTGATCCTTAAATCATGGTTTTAGAGTTTCTGATTGTGTCTCTATATTTTTCCCGTATTTAATTTAAGTCCCAAGTAGTAGTTTATTTAATTTTTTGTTGTTTTAGACATTTGAACCTCATGTTGTTGCATGTTTCATTTTAATCCTGGAATTCACTTACTTTGATATTTTATTTGTTTGACGTGCTTCTTTTGAGGATTACAGTTTAGTCATGCATACATTTGTGATTTTATTTTGATTTTAGTATATGAAATGTAATTATTAGTGTTCTATGACTTGAACTTTGTCTATTCTATGACTTTAGCCTTAAGAGTTATGTGTTTATTCATTTAGGTCATTATGTTGTTTTTTCATATTTTCATGATAACATGTAAATATTATGTATAATTTAATTACTAATGTTAAAATGGTCTGAATTTGTGTAGCATACTGAATTTTACATTTCTTCAAATTTAGTCACTACATTTATGTATATATGCTTTTTAAATTTTTAGTTTAGCATGTTATGTTTTTGTTTTTATATTTGAGTCATATTTGTACATTGTATGTTAATAGGTAGTTTATAATTTGTAATTAAAATATACGTATATAATTTTTTTTGTATGTCACGTTGTATGATATTTTTAATGTTTTTTAATTAATTTTGCCATGACATACTTTTTGCATAATTTACATGATAGCCTCATTTGCATAACTCGACATATCACATAATTGGATTAAGGGTAATACCCTTTTAATTTAAAATTGTTTCAAGTGGGCAGTCATAACTGATTTGAGGTCCGCTTTTAATAATTTTAAAATAAAAGTGTATCCCGAAAGTGAAACCTAAAAATCGATTCTTCGCTTAAAATTTGGGAACGAAAGAAAAAGAAGTGTTCGTTTATTTAAATTTATCGAGAAAAGATTGTTATAGCTTTGATCTGGTCTCGACATTTGTAAATAATTGAACACTCTTTATCTTTCTAAAACGACTCGGTAATGTTAATTTAATTTGTTTGAGTGCTTTTGAATGTTTTTAAATTTACATCGTTGTTTTATGGGATCAAAAATCAAATTAAGTTCGAATTTGTAAAGTTCAATGCAAAGACCTTAATTAATCGACTAGGTACCGTTTTAGGGCGTTGTAGGGGTGCTAATTATTCACTGCACGTAACCGACTCCCGAACTCGAATTTTGGTAACGCAGACCTTAACTTGTTGTTTTAATTAAAATTAATTTTTATTTAAAATAATAAATATTTTTGGGTGTCCAATCACACCCTAATCAAAGATTGGTGGCGACTCTTTAAACCGTATTTTTTCGATCGTAAAGAAAATCCAGAATTTTCGAAACGAGAGTTTTTAAAAATCGCATCTGTTTTTTAAAAATATCGATTGAACAAGATAAATTAATGTGGTTTTCAAAATCTCACATTTTCACCTTTAAGAAAAAAATTGTTTCGACATCGTGAGCCACCCTCCAACCGTAAATGCAAAGAGTAGGCAACTGAGTGTAGAATAACCACGATGGGGAACTAGCCACGGGTCTGGTGAAGAGGCATGAGCCAATGATAACCCGATTGAACCGAATACGTCCCAGAAAAATGAGCACTCCAGATCAATTCAACAATTGCAGTAGGCATTCCGTATAGCACAATCGGGAAGTACTATAAAATCACGACATCTTCATCATCCTTCTCTTATCATGCAGCTGCAGAAAGAACAGAACAAAATAATAAACAGAAACATAAGAGGAAGGAAATACCTTAAATGAAAATTGAAAGAATGAAACGGACCCTATAAACAACTCTAGTTTCTGGTTTAGCTTTGAGCTTGTAGAATGAAGTCGAGCTATGGAGGTGCGGTGAATCAAAACCCGTCCCTCTCGCATGCGAAGTGAGCGCTCTACCATATCAGCTACAACCCCAAGGTGGAAGTGAAATTAGGAGTTTATATTTTATCAAAAGTGAAAACTGGCGTTATGTTTTCAGGAAGCCGGCAGAAACTCGGTTGTTTCAAGTCAGATTTAGACGGTAATGGAGAAGAAACTTAGATGCATTTGGTAATGTTTATGGAAATTTTGGTCTTAAATCTCGTTTGAAACGTAAAATCAATCCTAAACTTTTCATTTTCAGTTAAAAAAATCGAGTTTAAAAAGTGATTATTGACCCAAATAAAAAAATTAGATCAATGATACTTTTGCATTTAAAAAGTTGGTCAGATTACATCGTTTAAAAAAGTATTCGCAAACGAAAACGTGTTCAACGAACACGAGTGGTGTACTTTTGTAACACCCTCAACTCGTATCCGACCCGGATACACGTCTGAGGTGTCACATTGACTTTTTAAACTTTTAACTTTTAACGAAAACCAAGGAAATTTAAAACTTTTATTAAAATAACATTGTTACTGTACACGAGTTAACCCAAAACAAGACAAAACTAATCAGAAAACTTACCTTTGTTATTCAACCCACTTCTCTAAACAAAAATGTAAACCTTCATCAAATCATCCACATATATGTTCTTTCTAATCAAAATAACTCATCCTTTATTTCCTTAACTTGTTAAACCTTCTTTCCTTTTCCTTTTTCTTGATTCAAATTCAAACATTTCATTTATCTTTGTCTTATAAACTGATCACAGATATATATATATAAATATATTCCCCAAACTCTTCCAAAACATACTCCTATCATTTGCTCTTTTAATATTTTTCCTCATAACCTATATCCTTCAACACTGACATTTCCAATCCGTCTAAGCTGATTAGTTGTACCTCTTCCTAATTTACAATTATCATTTGCATACTAACTATATAACTAGTCTATCTCCAATATTACTTCCAATCCCTTGAAGAATAACTCTATTAGGTTAACAAAGAATTCAATTCTCTAAATCTGAATGGAACATCTCCAACATATCTAATTTACTTAAGCACTGTGCCTTACTAAATTTGTCACTTTAATATTACTACAATTGACTTTTATCTACATTCTCAATTCTCTCACCCATTCACTACTCATGTATATATACAACTCGGATCAACCAATATCATAACGCATTTACTGTACAATAGAAAAATACCTGCTATTATCTCTGGATCATCAAAATCTTCATTGGTATTAATATTATACATTCGAGCAGTAGAACGTATTTCCTGTTGAGTAGAGGATTCAGGTTGACTTCTGCCTCTTCCTCTTCCTCTACCCCTTCCTCTTTGAGACATAGAAGCAGATCGATCCAACTGTGCATGCTCTTCTGTCCTCAATGGACAATCTCTCATGAAATGTCCTGGTTCCCCACATCGGAAACAAGATCCAGATTTACCTCTACACGTCCCACCGTGATATCTTCCACAAGTCTGATAATGTCTCTGTTGTGCTCTTCCATCACCAGACCCTACTGATTGGGTATGTCTAGTTCTTATCTGATTTGATTCTCTAACGGAGGATGCCACCGATCCAGTCCTTGCCTGAGACTGAAAACCAGTATCTCTACCTCTCTTGGGTGGTGCAAAACTCGATGAAGCCCCTATTTTTTTAGAGGGTTGGATTCTTTGATCCCTAAACCTTTCATTTTGAGCTCTTTCTAGAGCTTTAGCACGATTTACTATTTCTGGAAACGAAGACAAGTTCAACACTATTAACATTTCTTTCAACCTCGGGCGCAAACCCTCTACAAACCACTCACACGCATCATTCTCTGTTGGGACCAACTCAGTCGCAAAACGACTTAACTTATTAAACTCGCACTCGTACTCATACACTGTGCGATTCATCTGTTTCAGATTCAAGAATTCTTGCTTCATTTTCCGAATAAACTGGTCTCCTATATACTTGTGCTTAAATTCTTCTAAGAATAAAGACCATGTCACTTGATCACTTGTCAATCTCAAAGTAACATTCGTCCACCAAATTCTAGCTTGCCCACGAAGCAAGGAGACCATTCCATCTAATTTCTCCACATTAGAACAGTGAAGTCCTTCTAACATAACCTTTACATCATTAAGCCAAAGGTCTGCTGTAACAAGACCTTCTTCGACTTCACCCCTAAACTCTGGAGCCTCTAAACCCTTCAACTCCTTTGCAACATTCATTCTTGGAGTTGAAGTAGCAGGAGGTTGGAAACGCGTCAATACAACATCTAATGTTCTAAAGAACACATCTTGGTCAACTATAGGCACTCTAGAAGGTGCCTGTTCTTCACCTTGCCGGGTTAGGGCATGTGAATTACTACTTTCAGCGGACCGATCATCTCCCGCTTGACTTCGAGAACTATCATGTCCGGACATCTATAAAACATACCCATATCATTCTATCAGCAAAACAACACACTTACTATTATATCAGATCAGAAGTTTTCACTATTTTGTTGTCATGTACACATTATAAGACACTCTAGACTTCGGTTTATGCCGAGAATCGACTAAACCGTAGCTCTGATACCATTAAATGTAACACCCTCAACCCGTATCCGACCCAGATACACGTCTGAGGTGTCACATTGACTTTTCAAACTTTAAACTTTTAACGAAAACCAAGGAAATTTAAAACTTTTATTAAAATAACATTGTTACTGTACACGAGTTAACCCAAAACAAGACAAAACTAATTAGAAAACTTACCTTTGCTATGGAGACAAGGGAGGAAATGAAGAAGAAGAAGAAAAAAGAAGAAAGAAGAAAGCTATGGAGAAATCTCTTTTTTGTTCAACATCGTTGGTGAATCGTTTGTGCTTTCGGTATTTGAGATTATTATTTTTGTTTCATTTTAGCACCTAAATTTTTAACGGCGGGATACTCAAATAAAACAAAAAATAAACGTTATGTCCGATTTTAAACCCCCGAAAGTTTAGGTATTAAAAGAGAACAAAAGTGATAGTTTATATACTAAATATGTACTTTATCTAAGTTTTTATAAAATTATTCAGGGTTAACTAATAACTACATGGTCGATCACCTACTTATGTTTGTGTTTTGTCCGCTCTTCCTCACAATTTTCAAAAACATAATATATGGTCACATTCGTTTTTATTTAATTAATATGTGGTCACACTAATTAATTGTAGTTAAATATTTTGATATAATCATACATTTGATCCATATTATTTATATATTCTCTCAATTTAGTCATACTTTTAATAAATTAAAATAAATTTAATCCTTCAATCGAATGATGCCATGTGTCACATATATCATGTGTCGTGTCGTGTGTCGTTGGTACCACGTGCTTGGAGGATTAACTTTTTAAAGTATTGGTGGGAAATAAATATATTAAATTAAAATAAAGTTAGTCATCTAACCGAATGATGACACATGGCACCAATGACACATAATATCATTCAATTAAAAGATTAAATTTATTTTAATTTATTAAAATTATGACTAAATTGAGAGAATATATATTAATGAAATAGACTAAATGTGTGATTATATTAAAATACCACGTCACCTAATAAGTTAACTGTTAATGGTAGTTAACTCGTAGTGACCACATCTTAATTAAATAAAAATAAAAGTGACCATATATTATACTTTTTGAAATGAGTGAGCGAAATTGAGAAAACGCAAATTTAAATGATGAAACATGAAGTTAACCCTTATTTAGTGCTCCGGACCGGAGGAGTGGCGGGAAAACAGTTAGAATATGGGTTTACAAAAACAGCTACGTGTCAGTCAGTTTTCTCTTTATCCAAACAATAAAATCAAAACTACCCTGAAACGCCACTATTCCCATTTCCTTTCTCTCTCATCTTAAACCCACTATTTTGGAATACTTGTTTTCCGGTTCTTCTTTAATTCCTCTCTCTTTTTTTTAATTAAAAAGATAACAAATGGCTTCTCTTCACGATTCAATTTCAGCAGCGAACACCGCCGCCGCCAACGGCAACACGGTGCCGCCGTTTCTGAGCAAAACTTACGATGTGGTGGATGACCCATCCACGAACTCTGTCATTTCGTGGAGTAGTGGTAACAACAGTTTCGTTGTATGGAAAGTACCGGAGTTTTCAAGGGACCTTCTGCCCAAGTATTTTAAGCATAATAACTTCTCCAGCTTTGTCAGACAGCTCAATACATATGTGGGTATTTCTTTGATTTTATGTTTTTTTTTTTTTGGAATGGCAATTCTTTGAAAATATGTAGGCTGATTTGGTCTTTAGCTTTTTAGTTCTCATGTTATCCTAAGACCATTAAGGTGTGATTCCTTGAGTAGAATTACGATTTTGAAGTTTAAAGGGTTTCTGGATTCGTTTAAGTTTTCATGCTCTGTTTTTTTTTGGAATGTTTGAGAATTTGGGTTATTGTTATTATATTGCTTTGTGTGTGTATTGATGAGATTTACGTTAACTGTGAACAGTTTTAATGATGGAGTTGCCTTGGAGGAGAGATTTTAGAACCCATATTGCTGTTGGATCATGAATTTATGGTATAGTAATTGTGTAAGCTGAATTGAACGGGGGTGTTGATTTGTCAAAATATACGAAGGGAATTTCAATCGCAATGTGCTGGTTATGTTGTATAGGATAAGTAACAACAAACTTAATTATTCCTTTGTGCATTTCGAAATTTGATAATCGATGCAGTTCCTATTATCATGTAGAATTGTCGATGGTATAGGGATGTTTGGTTGAAAACCGTTTACCCTGGAATATAAACGTGGAAGAATTGATATGAAATGCAAATAATAAAAACTGTTTAACTCTCTTTATCTGTCTGTTTGTTGGGGCTAAGTTTGGAAATTTTAGTATGAGGATTGTGGCTAAAAGTATTGACTTCTAATGCTGCTTTGGAGGTTTTACTGTTTGGTACTTAGTCCATCGAATGCATATTCCTATAAAAAAAATAAAACTGGGAAAAAGAAAATAAAAGCTCCCGGCCTAGTTCAATGGTTTTTGACTTCTTGTAGTGAGCATCTCTTGGTTCATCCTCACACTTAGTTATTCTCTTGAAAGAGAGATTATATTCCATCTTTGTTTAGCAATAACATTGGTTGAGTTGGTTGTGATTGCTGCACATAGCATTACTGACTTGAGTGCACTAAACTTATTACTATCTACCTTCCCCGTGGTAATGGTGATGAATTCTAGTTTCACATTCTAACTTCATAGCTGCAGGAATCCTATTGTAGTAGTTACTAGCTTGATTTTGTATATGACTATATTTGCCGTTAATGTACTATTAAGCATACACCCATATGTGTGGCCAACTAGCCATATATATATTTTGACCAACTTTACTATAAAAAAAAATTATCCTACTTATTGCCGTTATTTCGTACTAATCTTTTCTGTTGAATTTGAATTATATAAAGTACTTTAGCTATTCATCTATGATGTTTTTGCTCTCAGATCAGCAACAGAGGTGCCTTTTACTTTTCTTCCTTATGGCTTTTCATATTGATTTCATGATTCTGGAACAAATTCTAAATGTCTTTAATGATGTTTTTCAGTTAAAATACTATCAATTCTGGAGATGTATTAATATTCCATGCTTTTGACCAGGTTTATTCTTTTTCTATGTTCTTGCCATGTTTGACCTAACTACATTTGTTTAAGGATCATAAGCTTACATTAAGTTTAAGGATTTTCTGAGAAAGATAATAAATTCAGGGGATTGGCTAAATTGACAATTGATATCCCGATTTTCTCATATTAGCTTTTCCTTCTTTTTTTTCAATGTCTTCTGACACTGAAAATGCATTTTATCCAACAATTGAGCAAAAGCCTGATGGAGAAATTAGGAGAATATTACTTGTAAGCACATAGCCCATGGGCTGCAATTTGAAATTAATTCATTTGAGAAGGTGGATGTTATGTATTGAATTGTTCTGACCTTTTCTTTTTCTTGATCTGAAGAACACATCTAGTTGTAATTGTGTTTGTTATCTGCAGGTTTAAGTATATGCTTGTAATTACTAACTGATGGTTGTCAGGCATTGAAGCTCAAACAAGATGGACGATATGCGATTCAATTAGATAATAAAATTCAATCCTGCTTTACGCATATGTGGGCTTGCTACATTCTGTTTGGCAAATATATGTGATTACTCATGTCGTTGATCATCATAATTTTTTTCCTTTAGGGTTTTAGAAAAGTTGACCCAGACCGTTGGGAATTTGCAAATGAGGGGTTCCTAAGAGGTCAGAAGCAACTCCTGAAAACTATCAACAGGCGAAAACCTACTAATGTCCATATTAATCAACAACCTCAAGTCCAGAGCTCAACAGTTGGAGCTTGCATTGAGGTAGGAATGTTTGGACTCGAAGAGGAGGTTGAAAGGCTGAAGAGGGACAAGAATGTTCTTATGCAGGAACTTGTTAGGCTGAGACAGCAGCAACAAGCCACAGATAACCAGTTGCAAGCTATAGGGCAGCGTGTACAGGTGATGGAGCAGAGACAGCAGCAAATGATGTCTTTTCTTGCTAAGGCCATGCGAAGTCCAGGTTTCTTAAACCAGCTTGTACAACAGCAGAATGAAAGCAACAGGCAGCTTACTGGTGGAAACAAAAAGAGGAGACTCCCCAGGCAGGATGAGGAAAACTTAACTGGTGAAAATGGCACCATATCTCCCAAAGGGCAGATTGTAAAGTTTCAACCTTCACTTAATGAGGCAGCAAAGGCAATGCTGCACCAGATATTGAAGATGAACACATCACCTGGGCAGGAACCTTCGATAGATAACTCTGGTGCTTTCATGATTGATGGTATTCCTTCTTCCAATGCACTAGACAGTGGCAGCTGCTCCAGTCGGATTTCTGGAGTGACACTTTCAGAAGTTCCTCCAGCTTCTGGGCAATCTTATCTGCAAGCAGAATCAAGTTTTCCTGACGCTAGTGAGCATACTGAGGTAGGTAAAATATTGGATATAATTCTGCATAAATCACAAAAAGATGCAGTTTTTCCAAACATCCCTCAGATGCAAGCGATTGTGCCTGATAGTGATAATAATATTGGCTTTACTGATGCAAGTTTGGGAGGAGGGTCTGAGAGAGGGAATGCAGGGTATGCTGATCCAATGTCCGCCATTTTGGATTGTGCAAAATCTATAGAAACGGGTGAGCTTTCTACTGATCATGATATGGACATCTTGCTGGATGGAACCCCTAAGCTTCCGGCAATTAGTGATGTTTTCTGGGAACAGTTTCTTACAACAAGTCCCCCCAGCGGGGACACAGATGAAATCAACTCTAGTCCTCCTGAAAATGGTGCAACTGGTGAACATGAATTACTGTTAGGGAAGGATAATGGATGGGATGGGATGGGATTCAACATATGAATCCTCTTACGGAGCAAATGGGCCTTCTTACGTCAAATAGCCAGAGGTGTTGATGGCCTAGAAATTGTGTAAATGTTTTTCTTGCTGTTGTGAGGTAAATCTTCAAGCAAACTATCTACCATATTTAGCTATGACCTAGAGTGCTATACATAGTACTCAATTTATTTAATGGTTTTTGCAGGGGTTAATGATGATGATCCACGAAGCTGGCAAGAAAATATTTTGTTTAACGAGAAACTTTTGTTGCTAAAAGGAGTTATCTTCAATGCTATTTTACTAATAGCATAACAATATGATATCCAATGAAACATGGGCGATAGTACAAATATATGCATATGTTATGGAATACCTCTTTTAGCCATGATGAATTTTAGAATGTAGATTCACTTGAAATGCAAATCACAAAAGAATATTTGGGTATTGCTTCCTTTTCTTGCATCCAGTGAGAACATCATACTCTCCCTATCTAAGGCATAACAAGCACTTTTGTGTTGGGGGGGGGCATTTTAAAATAAATTTTATATACTAATCAAAATATTTTAGTATTTTCATTAATATAAATTATATATCAAAATATTATACTAATAAAAGAAAATTTTATAAATCTGTCTGTTCACATAAAAATTGAAGGAAACAAAATTCATCTAATCTCTTTTGTTTGCCATTATTTCACACAACTTGTAACATATAACCATAAAAATATATCAATAAATTTCTAACTCTCACTGACCAAGCAAATGTATGTCCAGTTACATTAACTTTTGGTGGACATTAAATTTCGGTTTCAGTGTAAAATTATAGTTTGATTTATATTTTAGTAAAAAAATCGAACCGAACCAAATATACACGCAAATACAAGCATAAGATATGCAGATCTCGAGGAAAGTAGAGAAGGTGATGGGGCTGTTGACCCAAACCCTAATCCCATGCCCCTCCGTTCATTATAAAGTAGTTTCGTGATATATTTATTGTGGTTGAGTTTAAATCATTCAACAGAAATATATCAATTTCTGTCACCAGAATCACTTTCGTATAATGTCTAAAAATCTAAAAAAAAGTTCGATTAAATTTTTTAGAGTATTTTGATCGATAATGTTATATTGGAACAAAAAAAATATTACATTGATGAAAATCAGCAGTCAATAAATGATTAACGCTAAAAAATAAGTCATTTTATTTTAAAATTAAATATTAGGAGTCAAAATGTTCCTAAAAAGAGAATAAGAGACAAAATGACTATTTAGTCGAACGTTTTAGGGGTCAAAGTTCTCTTTTAGAAAATAAGAGTTCAGATGACAGATTAATTAAACATTAGGGTTTTTTTTACCCTTAAAATAAAATGTTAAAGGTCAAAATATTCTAAAAAAATAAAACTAAAATAATTATTTAATTAAATGTTAGAAGTATTCTTTTACTTTATGCCAATTTTTTTGGATTCAATAATTGTTTATTTATTTTTCTATTGTTTTTTGTGTTATCATATATCATAGTCTACTTCTATTTTTTAGTCTAGAAAAACAATAATAATAATAATAAATTTATATGATAATTATTTAACTCAAATTAATTCAAGGGTAAAGTAAACAAATGGTCCCGTAAATAAGACGTTATTTTGTTAAGTTCCTCAACTATTAAAAGTTACAAAATGATTTTCGATTATAGTATATTGTTTTGTTGAATCATCCAAATGTTAAAAATTATAAAATGGTCACCCAATTATTTATATATTTCAAACTGTCTTTTTTTGTTAAAAAATTAATAATCATTTGAGATGAACGTTAACATGTTGACTAAAATATGATAAAATATGATCCTATAACTATTTGAGCTATATTTTTTGAATCGATTTTCCATTTACATTATATCGTCGAACTAGTGCTTGAAACATTATGTCATCAAGTCCATACTTAAAACAACATCGATGACAATAGACATCATTAAAATATAATTTTTTTATCATATCTCAATCAACAGTTTAACATCCAACTCATAAAATCGTCAAATTTTCAACAAAAAAATGACAATTTTGAAACATATAAATAGTTAAGTGACCATTTTATAACTTCTAATAGTCTAAAAACTTAACAAAACAATGACAATCGATGATCATTTTGTAATCTTAATTTATAATTTTAAATAGTTGGGGCGTTAGATCTTTGATAAGTTGGCTACTGTTTATTTATGAATAAAAAAATTTGAACACTCTTTTCCTCCCCTGCTAAAAATCATTGTTGGTAAACTCGTCAAAAAAATATCTTATAGTTAGAGGACCATTAATAAACTTTACCCATAATTCAATAGAGTGGTTTAAATTATCATCAAGAACAAAATAATTATAATTATAGTAATCGACAATGAGGGTCCCAACCCAACTCTTGTAAGCATGAGGTAACTTATAAACCAATCAATATCCAAATAATTAGTGTAGATGCTTGAGCCATTCTTATATCATGACGTGAGGCATACACAAACTAGATGAGATGCTTTGAATCCACTGAAAAATGAGTTCCATTTTGTGCTTTCTGAGAACAAAATCTGCATACCATGGCTAATACCCTTTTATCTCGACAGCAAAACCTTATTAAAAACAAGAGATAAGTGAACAAAAATTACAACTAATGGGAGTCGTTTTTGCCACACCTTCGAAAAGTATAACTATGGATAACACCATCACCCCGAAACAAACAAACATTCGAATATACATATTCACTTCGAATTTTTTATTAAACCAGGCAAACGGAGAAATCTATTTTACATGCTTTGCTGCAAACTAAGAACCTCCATGAATGATCTTACTTCCAGCATGTCATACGTATAGTTCGGATAGTACACCAACCGAATGTGTTCATCACACTGCTTCGGACAACTTTTAAGCTCGAGATGCCGAATATGTAGCTTATGCTACAACAACTATGATGAAAATAAGGAGGATGATCCCAAAGATTAACACCAGCAAACACCTCTGCAAGAAAAAGGTTGTGGTATAATCGTGTTTTATCTTTAATGTCACAGATTTGCTTCAAACATGCAAACAAATTATCAATATTGGAAGAGAGTTGTGGGAAAATGATTTGGATACATCGAGCTTACTGTTGACGAATTTGCTCTCTGGATCTTGGATGCCTTTTAAGATGTGAAGTAGCTTGAACAGTTGCTGCATGGGAATTCTCAATGTTCGAACCAATGTCATCTGCGATAAAATTACAACAGCTTGGGAAGTTAGCAGGCAAAGCTTGGGGAATACTGAGCGAGAAAGAGAACTATTCGAACCAAAGTATATTAAGGACACGAGTTTTACCAATCATGGCTCCTTGCTCATGGACCAAAACTGCTAGATCTTTGAAGATCTCGTTCACTTCACTTATCTGTTGCTGAACTTCTTTGATCCCCTGTTCTCGCTCTTCAATAATATCTTCATTAAATGTGATTTCATTTTCCAACAGTACAACTTCTTGTCTGTTAGCAGGGGGGAAAAAGAAGACAGTTATAAACATTTCCAGGAAAGCAAATTACAAAGGTTGTGAATATATCTTTTTTCTCAATATGGAAGCTCAAGAAAGCCGATTGATGAAAAATGAAGAGAAAAGAGAAAGAAGATAAGAAAATAGCTTTGCCCCTTGAATGCTTGATACACCAACAAAGTACGCAAATCACATGAATAAAAAAGAGAAAATATTTGGAGTCAGGCTCCCATCATTTAAAGCCTCCAAGAATGCTACTGGAGAAATCCAGTGCAATAGTTTCGCCCAAGATGCTCAAGAAACCATTAAAACGAGTCTCATACATTAGCAACTTTTATAAACATAGGTAAGGCTGATCAGTTTGGGAAGTGACAGATAAGCTTCTAGAATCGGCAAGAACAGAAGTAGATATCTATCTAAACAATTCTGGGATTAGAAACCATCAAATAGGATTTCTTGAGAAACATCAACATCATTCACAGAGTTAAGCTAAAGAATTTCTCAATTGGTCAAAGCTTCTATAATATAAAGGGAGGATAAAGTTGCCACTTCAAAAGAATGAATTGCAGGGCGCAATGGAGAAAACATTTTTTTTCAAGCAAGAAGCTGAAAATAATAAGGTTATGCCATCACGATACTCGAGCTTCTCAACCACACCAATAGAAAAACATCAAGTAAAATCCAGAAAGCCATTGCACAAAAGTAAGCGTAATAAAAGTAGGTTATAGCATCGACATACTATGTGCATAAAGCTCACCTTTTTGTAACCACAAGCTGTTGGTGTTCTAGACTTTTAGATGAATTCTTCTCCACCTCATAGGCATCATAACTCAATAAAAGATGTAACACAACAGTCTTGTAGAAATGATAACAGCTAGGCAGTAATTAAATTACACAGTATGGTCAACCCTGTACCATCTAAAAGTAGCTCAAAGAAGCTTGCAGGACACCAAATGTAATATCAACACCTCTTGCGAGTCACACCATATTACATTCCAATTTCATCTTTCATATCCTTCAACAGCAATTGAAAGACTATAAAATGGTTACTAGAAACGTTTCTAAGTCATTTCTCAGTACTCTTGAAAGTAATATGCTTGAATCTTTACATTTTATTGTTGTTATATGTGTTCAAAATGCAATTTGAAACCCCATAAAAAGGTTGCTTAACTTTCCACTCCATAAAAAAAGACAAGATGTTTGTACCTAGAGCCAGGGCACAAACAATAGGCAAACACATTGAACATGCACACATGCATGTGTATATCGAGTATTGACTGATTCAGAAATGAATGACCATCTTTACAAGCATCAGAAAATGTGCATTTATGCAGCTGTGTGCACATAAGAGCAATTTCGGTGATAGTACCTGGAAGGAAGAGCTTCTTTGGGAACAGAAGATGTATATGCTGTCTCCCTCTCAGCTGCAAGCCTTTGAGCCTTTTGAAAGTCTTTAAGAGCTGCTTGAAAATCTTTCGCAAGCTTAGCATCAGCAATTTTTTTTAAGGGCTGCAGTTTAACAAAATAAAAACTCTGGTGAGAAATCTAGACCACCACCCTCATTCTAACACAAGCTATAAAATGAGAGCAAAAAACATAGGAGGGAGTAAAAAAACATTTCCAAAAACCAATCTAGTCAAAAGATGTGAGGACAAAATCATAAGCAGAGAAAGAAGGGGAACAAGGAAACTCGTGTCACCAAAGGGTGAAATGAAGTGCTCACGAGAGGCTAAACACACAATAGAAGTGTCTTTGAACCCCCCCCCCCCCCCCCCCCCCCGCACCGCAGCCCCAAAAAAAGACTGGCTTGCATGTTGCATCTGCATGCCATAATTTTTTTCACCAACATATTTAAACAAAAAGCAGAATAACTTGCACTAACTTCTGCATCTTGATCAGCTTCACTTGCTTCCCTTAGTTTAGCTGAAGTCTCTTTGACCAGCTGCCCAATATGTAGCCTTGTTTAAAGCCTGACAATGATAACAAAAAGAACTAAGGACCGATTATTTGTTTGTTGTATATGGCTAAAAATTACGCTATTATATAACAGAAGTTCAAATATCCCGAAAGGAGGTCAAAATTTATGTTCTTTAATTTCAGTCTTGAAATAAGCTTAAAAAACCAAGAGCCAAACACATTTTTGCTCCATAACTATACAGTCTATTTTAAGTCTATAATACCGTCAATTTTTTTGAACGAAAAATTACGAGTTTGAAACATAATAAATAATTAAGAGATCATTTTGTAACTTTTAATAGCCAATAAACTTAATAAATTAACATATTATAATCAGAGGACTATTTATAACTTTTAAAAATAAAAAAACTTAATAAAACAATATCTTATAATCTATTGATATTTTTGTACTTTAGCTCGTATTTAAGAAAATCAAAATTCTTACTCATTAAATGAACTATAATTATTAAAATAATAAATATATTTTATTACATCCAGCACTTTCTTAATTATTATTTATTTATTACATTGAAATTACTTAACTGGTACGGTATATATTTAACCTCGAGAAAACCGAGATGACTGAACCTCCCAAAATGAAAACTTCATGACCACGTCCCTTTACACGTCAACGCCCCCCCGCCTCTTCAAATCCTCTACACCCGGATCTATCTACATCTTTACATTACTTTCACCAATATTCCAATCATACCCTCCACGCTGCCATTAGAAAACATTATTTGGTTAAGGTGCTATTACTATGAGTAAATTATACAAATGATTATTGATTTTAGATTTATATCATAAATGAGTATTTAAAATATGTTTATTTTTTATTTTAAGTAGATAAAGTATGTTTTTGATTAAAATAAGTATTTAAAATTATTTTTTTTATTAAAATATATACAAAAAGTATTTTATCTTAAAATTAATATCTAAACTATTCATATTTTTTCATCTGTTCTAAAAACGTTGACATGTGACATTAAGTAAATAATATTTTAGGTACTTAAATAAAAAATTAAATACTTTAGATACCTATTTTTTCCAAAAAAAATACTTTAGGTACCTATTTGACCAAAAAGATAACTTTATGTATTTATTTTGGTCAAAAAATGCTTTAGGTACTTAAGTGAAAAAAATAGTATACTTTAGGTACTTTTTATTTGTTATATAAACATTGATTATCTGATGTTACTTTGTTAAATTATTTGACTATTAGAAGTTATAAAATGGTTATTGGGGTATATGATATTGTTTTATTGAGTATTATGACTATTAAACGTTATAAAATGGTTAATAAACTATTTATATATTCTAAACGCGTCATTTTCTGTTAAAAAATTGGCAGTAGTATGAGTTGAAGGTTAATCTACTGATAAGATACAATAAAATCATATTTTAATGATATCTATTGGCATTGTCGACTATCGTTGCTTTCAAGCGCTAAAGCTACTTTGACGACATAATGTAAACGAAGAGTCGATCCATAAAATACATATCAAATAGTTATGAGATCAAATTTTATCATATCTCAGTTAACATGTTAACATCTATTTCAAATGACTATAATTTTTTTAACAGAAAATGATAGTTTTGAAACATCATTTTATAACTTTTAATATCCAAGGGACTCAACAAATCAATACTTTATAATTAGAAGACTGTTTTATAATTTTTAATTGTTGGAGAAGTCGTAAAAATAATATCCCATAGTTAGGGACCATTTATGTACTTTATCCTATTACTATTAGCATAAGAGGAATAGATCCATAATAAGGAATTAAGGATCTCCGCAGAGGATATCTATCAACCCCCCCCCCCCCCATTTTCGCCTGAAATTTCCCATTCCTTTAAATTTTGTTAGACCACAAAGCAAAGGCAAAACATTTTTTTCGCTGAAGAAAGATTCGATCTATTTCGCTAGAAACGGGACTGAATGGCGGTTAGTGCAATTTTTAATTTTTTTAAGTATCTTGTTTGGTTGGTGAGAAAAGTTTTTATAATTTTCCATTTCAGTTTCACCTTCAAGATCTAACATATCCTTGTTCTGTGTCTTAACATATATATCTGCTATCTAGTTCGTAATTTAAAAAAATATTTTAATTTTCAATTTCATACGAAAAGTTATGAAACTTTAGAGGATTTGGTTGAACTTTCTCTGGATTTGTATGCGATTCTACCTTTGGATCTGGTTGATTCCATTTTCTGCGCTAATTGGCAATTTCTTATGTTAAGTATTGCTCTAGTAATGCTTACTTTAGAGGAAAAGTTAAAAACAAGAAGTGCAGAATTTAATTTGATAATATTGGATACTCTGTATGTTTGGACACGAGCTTTTGTGATTATTATCTATGATACTAGCTTTTATGATGATAAAATCTAATGAAAATTTTGTTTTGTATTCAGCCTAAAATCATTTGAGATGTTTTCTTAGTAATGGGTGTAATAATGTTGGATTGAATATGCTTTTTGTCTATTTTGGGTTGGATTCCTTGCTTTTTTTTTTTGACAGATCCAATCCGTGAAAGTACGCAACGTTTCCTTGGGTGCATCTGAGCAAGATATTAAGGAGTTCTTTTCGTTCTCTGGTGACATTGAATATGTCGAAATGCGTAGGTTAGTGATTACCATTAGATATTTAAGCTTATATTTTATTTTCTATTTTTTATTTTATTTTAAGGCTCTTCTCTACTGTATGAAGTTATGATAGTTGTTTAAGCTACTACTTCTAATCATGTAGATGTACCAGTATAGTGATGTTTTGAAATTCTGCAAAAATTATCTGGTCTAGGTTTCTTATTGCTTCCATTCCCCCCCCCCCTTTCAGCGATAATGAGCGGTCACAAGTTGCATATGTTACTTTCAAGGAACCACAGGGAGCAGAGACTGCTGTTCTTCTTTCAGTATGCACTTATCCCATTTCTTTTGAGCTTTTTGTATCAATTATCTTAATCATTTGCACCTTTTCAGACATGCATCCGATAATTAGATTTTATTCTATGGTCAGAAGGAAAATGGTCTGTCTGATATGTATGATGATTAAATGTATATATTTGTTACATAATGTGGTAGATATTTATATGATATGAGTTCAATTTCTATTGTGTAGTGAAATATGTAAAGCTGGTAAACTTCATAAGCATTAGCTCTCTGCTTTCCATGGATATTGAAATAAATCAAGTATCCAAAAACAAGGAATGAAATGTTTATAATTCCCTTCTGGAATCTTATATACGATATGCTTTTGAAAGTAAATACTTTAATGCATTACCAGTTGGATATCTCCCTTTGTGGTAGGTTTACCGACAGCATATGTAACTGAAATCCGTGCATGCATTTGACTAAAAGTATTTGGATTTATATTTTGAATTTATTCTATCCTTTGTTTTAGGGTAATTGATTTAAATTTATAATTTAATGTCAAGGAAATGACCTAGTCTAGTTCCATATATGGATGGTCTTTAATAACTATGTTTTGTATGTGTTGTTCCAACTTGTGACCAATTACTTGATTTCACAAAACAACATTCATATTTCCCATTGTGCATCATGTGGCGAAAGAACAATTAATGTATTATATAGCTTTGACTCAGTTACTCATTTATGCAAATTTATTTTTTAGTTGCTCTCGTAGTTTCAAGTTTTCCCCCCTTTTTATGTCTAGATGTCATAATCTTTCCTTTTATATATCATATTGTTCATCCCTTGTCGTTTTTACATTTTTCTTATATGGGGAGGAAGATGCGGGAAGAAGTGAGTGGCTGTCTGATGGCCATATTGTTAAGTAGTAGCATTTCAAAGTTCAATTAGCTTTTCCACAAAAGAGCTATCTCCCTTAAACGCCAATTTCATTGATCGGACCAAAATTTTAAATTTCATTCTTATGAATTGAGAATTCATGTTTTTTTTTCAGGGGGCAACAATTGTAGATCAATCTGTTACAATAGAGCTGGCTCCTGATTACAAGCCACCTGCTACTGCCACCACAAATCCTGTAATTTTCCTAACCTGTAGCAATCTGCTTTGACTTTACTTACGAAATGACAATTTTAACATGAATGAATATTTTGATTACCTTAGGCAACACAGAACAAAGATGTTGGCCAGGGTGAATCTGCTGTCCAGAAGGCAGAGGATGTCGTAACTGGCATGCTAGCCAAGGGCTTCATTCTCGGCAAAGATGCCGTGAACAAAGCAAAGGCATTCGATGACAAGCATCAGTTCACATCAACCGCCACAGCCAAAGTAGCATCTCTGGACCAGAAGATCGGTTTCACCGAGAAAATTAGCGTTGGTACTACCTTGGTGAATGACAAAGTCAGGGAAATGGACCAGAAGTTCCAGGTTTCCGAGAAGACCAAGTCCGCTATTGCAGCCGCCGAGCAGACAGTCAGCAACGCTGGTTCCGCTATAATGAAGAATCGTTATATCTTGACCGGAACCTCGTGGGTCACCGGTGCATTCAACAGGGTCGCTAAAGCTGCAGGTGATGTGGGACAGAAGACAAAGGAAAAGGTGTTGGCGGAGGAGGAAGAAGCGCACAAATCAAAGGGATATGCAAGGATGGATGAGTCTGAATCTCCCAAAGCCGGACGCCCCTCATCCCCTCAAGGTTTAATTCTTTAATTTGCAAAAGATTTGTAAGTAGCAGCAGCAGGGAAGGTATGGGCAACTTTCTGGTTTGGACAATAGTTAAAAAAAAAAACATAAAATGTAGAGTAGCTTGTTGTTTGATATGTTTGGTATACTTTGACTTAAACAATAATAAATTGCAAACAATTCAACATCAAGTTATTTGTTATGGGTTGATTAGTTTAATTGAAAATGGATTTTGGAAAGTTACATTTTTTTAATTAATAGTTTTTAAAAATTATTTTCTTATATTTAGATGATGTTGTACAAATTATTTATTATAAATATTAAATAATATTATTTATTATACAATATAATATTGATATTTTAAAATATTATTATATTTAGTAAATATATTTTATTTACATTGATATAATGAAATAAAGAAGACATCTACTACATTATAAAACAAAAAGAGGTATCAATGTGGACAAGAAAAATAACTAGATTTGGCTCACTGGGTCATCCATTTGGGTTAGTTTCTCTAAAATATGATATTATATCAGCAAAAGTTTGGGTTTTGGCTGGAGCGATGCAAATTCATTGTATACGTCTAGCAAAAATCTGAAATAATGTTCATGAAAGTAATATGTTCAACATCTAAAATGTTATCCTAAATTTAGTCCTAACTCCTAATCCTACGTAGAGGAGAAAGAAAAACTTTAAGAAAAAGAACGGAAATACTCTTGGTGCCTTAAACCCATGACCTAAGAAAATATGAGGAAATAAAGACGACAACCAATCAAATGTACTTGCTCATCTAAAACGTTATGAAGTAATCTCAGTGGTTAAAGAGAGTGCTATTTTTCTCTTTAAGTCTTGAGTTAGAACAATCGTATCCGTTAGATATGTGTACCTTATCAATAGTTGAAAAAGATTATAAACATATACTACCTTAAAATCAACCAAGAGGGCCCAAACTTTTCAAAAAATGTCATTGAATATTATGAAACAATTCACCGATCGCCTTCATAACAGTTAACTTTTCGTAATCATCACAAAACTGAAATGTAAGTTTCCAAGAATCCAGCACCAAGTATACAATGGATTTTTCACTTAAGTTTCTAGGACGAAATATCTTTAAACAAAAATAATCATAACTTTGCAAATTACATGCTCCTCAAAGTTCTTAAATCTGAGGCCTTTCGGGCAAAATCGTTACAATAGCTTCAGTCCACCGGTTACATCATCCACCATTTCAATAGGTCCTACAAAGAGCATTGCATTGTAGAACTAAATAAAAGAAAACGGAATTCACAGGTTTTGCAGGAAAAAGAGATGCTTACCAAGAATAGCCATCACCGTCCTCGAATCTGAAGATGTAAATATTCAAACAAAAGGCCTTTAGAAAGAAAAAAGCTATCGAAATGTTCACTTAAGAACTAAAATGCAGTCATGTGCTTGTGATGCAGCGAAATGAAAACGGTCTGGAATTGATGACCAAAACCTAAGTATTTCTGAACTATAAGCTCTAAAGCTTTTATCATTAAGAACTGAAAATGTATATATTCAAACAAAAGGCCTTTAGAAAGAAAAAAGCTATCGAAATGTTCACTTAAGAACTTAAATGCAGTCATGTGCTTGTGATGCAGCGAAATGAAAACGGTCTGGAATTGATGACCAAAACCTAAGTATTTCTGAACTATAAGCTCTAAAGCTTTTATCATTAGGAGACTAATTCTAACAATTAGACAATTTACTATCTTTCTTTAAGCTTGGATCAACACCACTCAACTTATCAGTATCATTGCTTCCAACAATAAAAATAACTCCGAGCTTTCGTATTCGTAAAGGCTAAAGCACATTTGTAGAAAAGCATCAAAATGATCCCATAGCTTATCCTTGCTAACATCCCAATAAGATGAATAATTTAAGATAATAATAGTTTGTCTTCAACGTTCTGAAAAACATAAAGAGAAAAAACAGAAGAGATTTCATAAAACCACCCAGTAAAAGCAACACAAACGCCAATGATAGCAAAATATCCCAAACTACAATTTGCTTCTTTAACAATTTCTCTCGTTTAATCCTTAGGGTCTGTCTGGTTCACTGAAAACATATTCCAGAAAATGATTTTCCGAAAAATGAATTACATTTTCTGAAAAACATTTTACGGTGTTTGGATGATGCTGTGTAAACCATTTTCCACTGATTGATAAATTTTCTAGAAATAATGAGATAAACTGAGATTGAGCAATTTATAAAACTGATGATTTAGGATTCAACAAAACCTTGATGACATAAATTATTAAGAGAGAAAATAAACCATGCCACTCACTTGGTGCAATCTGAGTTCTCCCTGTGTCAATGGTGATATGCGTTGGTATATTTAGTGATTTTGCCCTCTCCTGAAAAGTTAATTCTAGTTAATAATAGATAAATCAATGTATATTGAAATATCAAGATATATAATTAGAAATAATGACACTCTAATGAGAAGAGTAAGACCAAAATGTAGTTGATGCCATTCAAAACAGTGAAGTGTGGACCTTTTATTGGAGACAGGTTTGGCAACAATAAAAAGAACATCAACCAAGTCCTATGATTTGCATCAAAGAATCATCAACAGCAAGGTTAAGTAAAAAATTAAATGGTTCACGCACAATATCGAGAAAGATGGATAAGTCTAGTAGTTGTATAAACAAGTAAATATTCTCTGCCTTCTACTATCCATAAATGCAAAACCAAATAACCAATAACTTATTTCTTTCACCAATACTCAGTAAAGTGGTAAGTTTCGCATCATAATAAAATCTTTCTTTCATCTGAAACACAGGCTTTTTCTACGGACAAACTTTCTTTGTGGATAAATTGTTGATACATATTAATTAAATTACAAGGTAGATGGAGATAATAGTAGAGGGGGTGCACAGGAATAAATCTTAAATCACACTTACTTGTGAAACTAGCATATCTTCCTCGCTGTCAATTTTCACCACCACCTTTGGCTGAGCACACATCTCCCACCTGCATATTAACAACATATGGACAAAAATGAAAGAGACAGGCATGGACAGAGATAGAATGAAAAGCACTAGTTTCAATAGTATAACGCCACAAAAGCTCTACCTGTTCAATGCTTTTGGTGCTCGATGTAGGAGTTTTTTGTAAAGACCCAAAGTTGCATGACTAAACATTAAAAGGAAAAACAAAACAAGTTGTATTACGGAGTTAACCAAAAGGGATTCATCAGAACTTTCAAGAAAAAACTGCGCAAATCAATCAAGGGTCATGTAACAAGAGGTTAATAAATCACATCAGACGAGTTCAGCACTTTTAAACAGTAATAGTACAAAATATCAGTGACTCTAAGAGTCTAAATTTACATGAAATTCCTTATAAGATGGCAGAATGAGCAACAACCAAAGTAGCAACATTATGTTTAAAGATGGCAAGAAATGGAACTGCCTATTGGCTGTTTACTGAAGCAGCACGGTGCACAAGAGGAACTTAAACCTTATGCAATGGGTTAAATCTAGTTTTGTTTCTTACAAAATGCCATGCCATGATGGGAATCATAATGTGTCACCAGTGCAAAAATTACAATGACATGCTTTGAGAATTGCTTACCACAACCCAAGTATTCAAGTATAATTACAATTTAACTGATAGCAGTCAGAGTTCTATTTGACGGTTTATTTTTTCTCGGAAGGATATTCATAATCAGTCAATAGGAATAAGCATATCCCATCTAATCAACAAAATTAGGGGTTAAGAAAGGATCTATCAATAATCACACAGTACTTCATTCTAATATAACTGAACATCTACTGCACTACCTGGCTTCACTAGCGTGTTCAACTCTCAGCAGGAAAAATTGGGTTTAAAGAAAAGCTTAATAACTAATAAAACTAGACAAAAACAAGGCTCACCTGCACTGGGCAGCAATTTTCCCTTTACCCATCTTAAGATCATTTCTTACAACCAGGACCTGAAGACGATAAAAAGAAAGACAGAGATGTTCAATGTCCATTCTCTCACATTAAATAGTTTGCGTAACATAACAATACTGATCCAAAAGGGAAGAGAAACAGTTCAATACCATTTTAAAATCCTCTAGAATGTCAGCCAACTTTTCGATTTCTAAGGGTTCTTTGATCTTCTTATTTGCTTTAGAGATTGTAGTATCTTTAGTTCCTCTCGATGAGAGAAATAAATAAGTGGGATGGCACTTGCCAACGCAATACCCCAAGGCAAGGCAGCCAGCCCCAACTAGGATGGCACTCAACCATGACAAATCCACCATTTTAAATAAACAATGAAAATTTCCCCCTTCCCTAAAAGACACAGTAAGCATCCACTTAAAACTCAAAAGGAAAATCACATTGTGCATAAATAGATTTAAAATATCCACCTTGAGGATTTAAGTAGAATTACAATCATGTTACAGATAAATGAAAGGGAGAAAAAAAAGAAACAAATAATCTTTTATTGGTAGTAGTAACAATACATGTTGTTCAACAAGGGCTTTTTTAGGCCCCATTTAGCCGAAATTCTATAATAAAACTTGTTAATATAAGGCTAAAAAAGGGCAAAAATCGGTTGCAACCGAAAATCTTATCAAGAGAATAACTTTCTAGATTGGGCAGAGCGACATTTTAGGTTGAAATCGAAAATGTTACATTTTTCATAACATTTTCGGTTGCAACAAAAAATATTACAAATTTGAATAACTTTTTCGGTTGTAAGCTCTAAACCCTGCAATGTAACTTTCCGGTTGCAACCGAAAATGTTGCAAATTTGTATAACTTTTTAGTTTGAACATGATAACATTTTCGGTTAAAAACTGACTTATATTAGGCTGCCACACAGTAGAACTAACCCCATTTAGTTGATGGTCTCATAATCTGCTTTCTGGCTTTGCTATGACATTTGTGCTAACATGTAAAAGTAAATGGTAAAAGGAGAACTGATAATTAATTAGAAAAGGAACGAACAATTAACGTTTAACACCAATTCTAGCATAATTATTGTTCAATATATAGGTATAATCATGCATTTTCTTGTCCAAATTGCATTTCTAAATTTTCTGCTTCCAAAAGAGGGAAAAACAACAACCAAACAATAGCTAAATCAAATAAAAAAAAATAACAGAACTTTAAACTCTGAAGCCAAAGCCGATATAAAACCAAAGAACTAGAAATATGTAAAATGTGATTGATCCAATTAATTTAAACACCCAAACACCTAATTTTCATTCAATAAGGCTTCAGAACGTTAATAGCAATCGAACTAGCAAGTTCCAAACTTTATACTAGACATTCATTACTAAAGAAAACACTTCCACAATCCAAGGCATTGAGAAAATTTAACGGAGGAACAAAGAAATAGAGAAACTATACCGATTAGAAGCTGTGGGTCAGAGTTGGATCTTGAAGTTTTTGACTTTGGGTTAAATGGGAAAAACAGTTCCGTTGGGGTTTTGCGTTTGGGTTCAAATAAAGGGTTAAAAGCGGAAAAATGGCTGCGACCGACCGATCAATAAAGAAGAACAGTAAAAAAGAAAGAAAGAAAAACTGATAAAGTATATAAATAGTTAGGGTGCTTGCATTTTTATCGCCTAACTTTTAAAAGTTGTAATAGAATCATTTAATTTTTAGTTTGTTTTTTATTTTTATCCCTACTGCTACCTTCCATTAATTTTTGTTAACGTAACTGTTAACCATCGTTAATCTTTTTTTAGGCTGGCGTAACAGTTAACCCTTCTTCTTCTCACTCTCAATAAAATCTAAGATCCAAAACCTAGTCATTTCTTGGATTCTTTTTCTCTCTCTATTTTCTCAAGAAAATTCAGTTTTTCCATTGTTGAATACTGTGATGATGTACATTTACTTGATAATGTTTGTCGAGATAATTTCTAACATTCAGTTTTCTTGGATTTAGCTTCTGGTAATGCAGGCAGTGGTGGAGTGTAGAGATTTTCACATGAACCACTATAGTGCTGTTGTCTTGTTCTCCTTAAAATTTGGTTTTCACTACATTATTGAAATACCTTAAGTGAACAGATTACAGGACTTTTAGCATGTACTGCAAAATAATGTTACTTTTGACTATATTATTTGCAGATTAACTTTTTAGGTTATCCAATATAGCAAAAGCGAAAACTACAACGAAAAATGCAATGGAGTTGTCGTCTTCTTTGTCGTAGACAAAGAAAGTAAACATATTACATAAGAACTTAATGAGTTCAAATTTTGTAATGTTACCAAATGTAACATGCTGTTTGGTGTGCCTCTAGGGGTGTTATGTATTCAACCTTTTAAACGTTTATTGCATACCTTTTATTTTTTACATTAGTTTTGGCCTGCCATTATAACTCGCACTGAGTTATACTTCTATTTACTGATGGTCCCGTATGGATTGAAAGTACTACTGGCTTGTTGATAATTTGATTTTGGTTTAAACTGTCTAATTATCAACGATTCAATGTTGACTTCAAGGGACTTTGCATGAGTTATTTGCCAATTATTCTTGCTAGAAATGAAAAGCAGTTTTGGTCTCAAGACGTTTCTAGTTCTGCTAGAATGTTTACTATCTTTCTTCCAGTTCCTTGCCAGTGATTCCATTTTTGTGTGTGACTGTGTGTTTGTGTGCGCATATATATACCTGATTGTACATGAAATTGGATTATTATATTTTCCCGATTAAAGATAAGTATGTTTCTGGGTTTCATCCTTCTTGCATGTATACGACCATTGAAGAAGCAAAAAGATTGGATCAATTTTTATGTTCTCATTGTACTTCAGAGATAGATGCCAAAAGATCTTTGAATACATTTCCAGTATCGCCATCCATTGAGGTAAAGGTTTGAGCATTATGTTCAGTGGGCATACATAAATATGTATTGTTTTCTTATTTTACTCTATTTAGTTTTCGGCAGATTCCGCTATATTTTGTCTTAGAACAACATTTGTTATATTTTGATGATGCTCTTGCAATGCGAGCCGTTAGCTCCAAGTTTTTCTCCTGCAACGCAGAACTATTTTTATCTTGGTTTTGGTTCAGAAGTTAATCATTGAGAAAGTAGAGAGAGAAAGATGATTTTTTTTGGGAAAATAGAGAGAGAACAAGAATCCAAGAAACGATAAGGCTTTGGATTTGAGATTTCATTGAGAGTGTGAGAAGACGAAGAAGAAGAAGAAGAAGGGTTAACTGCCAAGTCATTAAAAAAAGATGGTTAACTGACGATTAACTGCCACATCAACAAAAATTAACGGAAGATAACGACAGAGATATAAATAAAAACTAACTAAAAATTTGATGATTGTATTGTAAGTTTCAAAAGTTTAGTGACCAAAATGCAAGTATCTTAAAAGTTTGGGACTATTTGTATACTTTATCCTAAAAATAAAAAGGGTTAATTACAAAATAAGTGCAAAACTATAATTTTTAGTCCATTTAGGTGTTAAAAGTGTTTTTGGTTTTAAAATATGTGTTTAATGTTTCACTCGTTATTATTTTTAGTATTTGATCTATCACAATTGTTAAAAAAAATTACCAATCATTGAAAATGTGATGTGTGTTGCCGTTACGCTCAAGATCTAAGGGACTCTACCATATGAAGTGTTTAGAAGAATAATGACCTACTCTTGCTAACGCTTCTTCTCGATCTTAGAAGGCTCTTTCTTCTTTTTCTCCATGATGTCTACTTCTTTGATGCTAGGAGATTAGTAATTCTTGGAGAGTTATTTCTTAGATTATGTAACACCCTTAACCCGTATTCGTACCCGAATACAAGTTAAGAATGTTACACTTTTCATATAACATTTACTATTCGAAAACGATAAAAAAATTTGTTTCTTTTAAAATTTCCAAATTTAACCATTTAGTCTCAGACTATTTAACCGCATAAAATCATAATGTAATATTTTAATTTCCACTTTACATTCGACATCGCATAGTATATGGGTGGTTCAATACTATTTCATATCATAATCTAAAACTTCCTAATTTAAAACTTAACCGATTAATCTTTATAATACAATATTTTACTTCCCTTATACATAACCATTTAGTATCTTATGATATTTTCACATTTCTTTATTTCTTATATTATATCATTTCCTGTTTGAGTACAATTTCTAGAATTTCATTTTTACAACACTATACATAAAATATATGTAACATCTATAATCAGATTTATTATAAAACAAGTTTATTTGGTTGTTGTCTACCGCCACACGACCTCCCACTAACAACAACTTCTATTATATTATATTCATTACACAAATATACATATCATTCTTATGTAAATTCAAACAAATATAATTCACCCTCTAAGCAACATTTCCATGAAATTATCATAATTTCCTCGTATGATAAATGTCATAATTTTCATACTAAGATAATAGAGTTGGATCATTTCAACCAATTAAAATAGCATATAATGCATAATTTACCACCATTTCATATACTAGCAGTTTGCACTACCCTTAAAAAAGTATTTTTATGTATTAATATATACACTTAAAAATTATTATGTTTGTACCATTAAATTTTAGACTCGAATACGAATATAACCATATAAGACACTTCTTCTAATTCAACTTGTACATTATATGGTAAAATTTTCAATCTAACTTACAGAATATGTTTGAAGCAGAATCTACTTACTAAGTTTCTGACCTATCACCTATTAAAAATTTATATTTTTTTTTGTATACATCTCTAAATCAGTATCAGTTTGTTTTAAACAAAACTAGACTTATTTAGTAATCCAATGGTATAAAATTGTCTTTTATTCATTCTTGTAGAATTTATAGCGATTTTATGAACTTATTGCCCATATTACTAATTTAAACCGATTTCACTAATTTGTATTCTTATCATATTCACTCACTTTTATTAGCTTATCAAATGACACAAATGAATCAATTGAAGATCCTAAAATCATTAACACAATCACCTTCATCACAATGCAATAATTTCCAATAATTACATAATTATACTTTAATTTCTCAAGTCATGCAAAATAGGCTCCTAATACTCTCCAATTTGTTTCAAGCTTGATTCATCAAGTAAAACTCATTTCCATCATTGGCCAAATCACCAGACCAATCCCTCCAACAATTTTTATTCAACTTTCATGCTTAATTATAACCCTACAACACTCCTAATATCAAAATCTAACTTAATTTCATCAAATTCTCTACCACCCTTCACCCACCAAGATAACAACTTTCACCATTCAAGCATGAAACCAATAAATAATTACACCAAATTGTAGAGAATTTAATGGAGATTATTTTCTTATTTCACACTTTAGACTAAAATCTTACTAAATTTGATCAAAAATAGAAAAGAAAAGAAATTGCTCACATTGGCTACGAGTTTTAGCAACCTGCGGGAGAAGAAGAGACTCCTGAAATTTCTGGTAAAAAATCTCCCTAATTTTGACTTTTAAAATCAATAATTTTTTTTATTCATTTTGGGTCAAAAATCCAAATTACCATTAACGAGTTCCCAAAATTACAATCATGCAACTCATTATCTCTATTTTAAGATTATTAAATAGCAGTAAAAATCCCATCTCTCAATTTTTCTTTTTGACCCTCCAATTTCCAAAATTTTATTTTTGTCATTAAATTACACTATCTCACTTTATACTGTAATTCTCCCCAAATTCCACCAATTCAGCTTAAATTTCTCTATTTAAAAATATCCATATAATTTTCCAACCCAAATTTACCTACCTGAAAATTTTTATAAACTTCCAATTTGAGCTAGTTATCCGAATAATATACCGAACTTTATCATTTAATAGACTTTTATGCAAACTCCATATAAAAAATATGAAACCCGCTAAAATAATTTTCTTGTGCTGAACTACTAATTTGCAAATCCAAAATATAACTTTTGAAAATTTATATATTTAGTCCCTATACTTTTACAACTTTATACTTTAATCCTCAAACTTTCAAAATTTATACTTCAATCACTAATAAATTTTTTGGGGTATTATAGATTAACTCTTGTTGCTATTGATTTTTCTATTGCAACTGTAATTGGACCGTCTAGAACGCTTGAAACTACGCATACAAGCTTCATAGTTTGTTTTGCAAGTTGTAAACTTACAGGAGATTTAGGCCATTGGAAAAACGTAAACTGTTGGTATTGTTGTTGGGGTACTATTGATCGATTTACTCGTGGGTACCATAGTAAGCTTTAAAGTACGTTGGGTCATACACAACTTGTTATTGGTATAAAAAATCAAACACTTAGGGAGAATTTTGGAAAGATGATGGAAAATTAGGTTGGTTATTTTACTATTAGGAGTTCATTTCAATTGATTCTTTTTGCTCATAGGTAGACCACACTCGTCACATCAATTGTCGATGAAATAATTATAGTGATAATAATTAATAAATATTCACTTTCTTTTAATTTGGACGAAGAGTCACGACTAACAATTTTATGAAAGAGGTAGACGGTAAGTGATTTAAGGGTGT